GACTTAGTAAGTAAGGTGGTAAGTCCTGTAAGTGGGGTTATCAGTAAATCGAAGCATAGTTACCTCATTATTACCCTAGTCATTACGTCCCATGATCCTATACGTAGACCGAGAATAGTAGCCCAGATCCATGAAGTTTTTGATGCAAAACCGACTCTTAAACCGTAAATGCCAAAGTCGCAGACACAAGCCTATACCCCAGAACCATGTATCATTCGGAAATGATGCCTTCGTCGTCGAAGTGGGATGAGTACGCATGTAATTAGTTAAAGATCTGTGACAACTGATATGCGGCATGGTTCGGTGCTTGCGGGCTGGTGTGCACGCATAAGTGTGTGTGAGGGGGAGTCAGACAGAGAGGGAGAGAGAGAGAGNNAGAGAAAGAGAGAGAGAGAGAAAACAAGAGTGTGAGTGTGTGTGTGTGTGTGCGCGTGTTTGTGGTTGTGTGCGGAGGTGTACTTAGATGTGAGGGTACGTTGTGCAGAGGGCCCGAATCTTCAGGATATAACCATGTACATCTTTATTCAGGTGCCTGCTTTCTGACCGTGTTGTGACAGGTACAAAAGCAGTCAATAGCTTGCTGTGGGACGTCATCAGTCGGTGTGTGGCATCATGTCTCCATTTTGACAGATCTTCCATCACCCATGGCTTGCCCTATTCGAAGCAGAGCACTGACTAGAACATCTGTGTGCTTGAAGGTGCAATTGAAAAAACCTAGAGCGATAGTAGGGCTCATAGGCGTTGTATGAAGAAGTATTTCGGAACTAGAAACCCAATCCCGAAACTTCAATCCCCCCCAACCCCGAAATATTCAATCTGCTGACACAAGGACAAGTTCGCCAATCTGGAGCAGCTGGAGGTGCTGGATCTTACAGGCCGCTTTGCTGGTTTGCTTCTGTTGTGCTCGGGTTTGCCAAGCTTGTAGCAGATGTGTGCACGCCAAGAGCTCGAGCCAAGCTAAGTTGCTAGGGGCGTAGGGTTTTGGAATTAGGGTTTAGGAGTTGAGGGTTGAGGGTCGTTGTTCAAGGTAACAGCCGTCTCTAATAATGGAAGAGCTGCGTTCCAGGGTCAGGGAGAGAATGAAGCATCAAGCCGCCACTCCGAACCTGGAACCCATAACGATACCGAACCTTGTGAAGTCCTGTACTTTTGCCATAAAACCCTGAACCCTAAATCATGCATGTGGGCCGAAACAAGCCTCCTGACTCGATGGAAAAAGAACCACAACGGTTTAGGGTTTGGAATTTCGTGGTGTAGGTTCTAGGGATTTGAGTTTTTGGTTTGGGCTTTTGGGGTTTAGGGTTTAGGGTGCTGCTGTGCGTGTGGTTTCGCATCTTCTGTCTGCTGAAGGGGGGGCAAGTTCCGTAGCCCACAGCAAACATATATCCTGTCCCTCAATAGCCGGGACTTTTACCGCTTTCCCCATCTAATTAGAAAGGAGTTGGCATAAGTTCGAGCGAATTCGCCGTGATCCGTCCTTCAGAAAGCTTGAACCCTGAACATCCAATCCCCTGAGCCCCTGATGCGCTAATGCCCCGAAACCCTTCAACTAACCGAACCCCTAGAACCCTCAACTCGACCCTCAACCCACCATCGGGGCCTGAACAACTACCACACTGAACCGTCAACCCATCGTTTTGACCTAGACCGGGTTGCGGCCAGGGTTTATAATGTAGGTGTTAAGTTCTAGGGCCTACTGTGGCAGTTGCTGCTGTGATTCTAGTCATACACTTAAACGAGCCGGAGGGCGGCCTTTCTGTCTGCATGTGGGTATGCATTTCTCTACGTGTGTGTATGGCTCTCAATCTGAAAAAGCACTTCCTTAAGGGTCCATATACCAAATAGTAGAACATTGGCCCTAAAGTACCTATATAGGGACTACATTAAGGCCAAAGTACATACTATTTGGGTACATGGACCCTTAGGGCTTATACTCCTCAGGATCGATCTAGAAGCAGAGCATGCCCCACAGGAGGTGTTACAAGCGTTGTATACGAGCTTAAGCAAGTGCACCGAGTTTCGATTGTTCCACCATAACCAACCCTGGCCCTCGACATTCAAGCGTCAAACTTTATACAAGACCGAAATCTCCGCTCCCCGCATCGCCAAGGGAACCGTGTCCGCACAGACTTTGGGGACTTCATCCGTGTCTCGGTTTATGGCTGAAGTCAGGAGCGCGGCTGAACCTACGATATCGGCTTGACCATCGGGTTTTTGGCCGTCAGACCCATGACGAACCCACCTTCAGCCATTGACTCAGGGTTTTTGAAATGGCTTTCCCTAACCCCCCAGGTACCTACTATATAGGGTACTAGAGCCCCTAAGGCCCTATATAGTAGGTACCTGGAGGGTTAGGGTTTGGAGGGACATGAAGGGACCCCCTAAACCGCAACACCTGGAAGCCGTAAAACTTTGAAGCCCCTAACAACCCCCGAAACCCTGCGATAGATCCGTGGCCGGCGGAGGGAAATGCTCTAAGACTTTTCATTGGGTGCAGGGATTTGGGGTCCAAAACCCGAAAACCCTATAAACTCGAATTGGGGTTCCCTGGGAGAGCATAGGAGTTCAGCTGGTTTTTAATTCAGGGTTTAGGGGCTGAGGCTTTAGGGGTCTAGTGGATAGGGTTTGGGGGTTTTCGGGTTAGGCTTATGTGAGGGTCCCGCCGTCTTAGTTTCTGAAACTGCCATTCCCTTAGAAGCCACTTTCCTCTGTGGTGGGTTGCTGGTCCTTACCTGGGGATCCAGAAGCTGCCGTTGAAGTGTTCTGCAGTTATACCCTGCAACTATTATAAGGGTCATGAACTACTATTTTGTAGGGTTTGGGGATACGGGAAACCCCTATAGAACCTTGATCCTATCCAGAGCCCTTCAGCCCAACATGTAGGTACCTGATTACATAGGGTCGAGTGCTGAACAGGGGCACTGTCTTTTAAAGTCATGGGCTTGTGTTCCGGCATACCACCCTGCTTGGAGGATCATGCGACTTGGTTAGTAAGCTTATAAGTACCTGAAATGTGGAAAAAGCAATTATAACTGTAGGTATAGCCCCAACCCCCCAGGTGCCTACTATATAGGGTACTAGAGCCCCTAGGGCCCTATATAGTAGGTGCCTGGAGGGTTAGGGTAGTTTCCCTATTCGAAACCAGTACTTACTACGTCCCATGACCCTTTCAGTGAAGCTCGAGCCGGGATGAAGTTTAGGGTGTAGGGTTTAGGGTTGGCTTTAGGGTCTGCAGCATGGTTCTGGGTGTTCTTTTTAAAAGGGGCCCCCTTCAAACATTGATGAGTGTGTGGTTGGGATTTTATTCAGGTAGATTGGTACAGAAAAAGCCACACTTCAGGTGATCTTCCGAAACAGAAGTTGCGGGAACTCCGGCTGAGCGGAAACATACTGATGCTCGGTTCAGCTTAAGCGGTCCAGGGTTCATTGAAAGCTGCTTTTCCTGTTCCAGCCGTTCATCATGCTGAGTGAACCGTCCAGATTCAGAATCCCCTATTCCGAGACTCCAGTAATAACTAGTACTCGTATTAGGAACCCTATCAGCAACCCCCCTTCTCCGAGGGGAACTTGGCCGGATCATCCAGGGAACATTGCTTAGTCATAGTCTGTTGGAGGCCACAGTTTTAGAGGGGCGGTAATAATTACCTATACTACTGAGGGGTAGGCCCCAAAACTCTGTTCTAATTATTAAGGCCACTACAGTATTGCGATGCCTTCGACCGAATCTCTCCGGGGATGCTTTGAAGCTATAATTCGGATTAGGAGCCCCCTAGATAATATATTACTTCTTTGCAACGTCCTTTTGCTGAGTGTCACCGGTGGTCTTGTGGAGCTGTAACCGGTTGAACGCCGCACGAAGGTACAACGTCACAACAATAGCAGAACCATGACCACTGCTTGCACGGCATTTTGACCTGAACCTTACTTCCTACCTAAACCCAAAACCTAAATCCCTCAACCCTAAAACCCCCAAACCCTTTCGGCGTCGAACCCAAGCATTTATTTACAGCTTGTCGGTGGTTGTGTTTTGTTGGGCTTTAGGATTTGGGGTTTAGAGGTTTAAAGTTCAGGGTTTGCGGCCTCAAGGTTCAGGGTTTTTGGAGCTTCGGACTTGGGGTTTAAGGGTTCAGGCTTTCAGAAGTGAAAATTACGGTTCCCGGTTTAGTATAGGAGTTTAGGTTCAGGGTTCGAGAGCTTCGAGTTGAAAGTTGTTTAGGGGATTGTTTCTCCCATCCTGTAGGAAGGATTTGTAATGGGGATCTTGATACTGTGGCCCGTTATATGTTGGCCTTAAATTTGGGTATCGTGCGATAAGACATATGTCAGCAATAGTTATCCTGCGCACCAACGTACTGACAATATTTATAGTATATTTACCTAAACACATCGCTGGCAAGGATTGTGCCGATAGAGAGGCCGACAGTTAGGTAGATCGATCGACAGCTAGATAGCCACATCGACAGCTGGATAGCCACTTAGACAGACCGATAGATAGATAGATAACTAGACAGATAGATAGATAGATAGATAGATAGATAGATAGACAGGTAGATGGTAGATAGATAGATGATAGATAGCTAGTTAGATAGATCGATAGATAGATAGATAGATCGGTAGATAGATAGTTATATAGATGATCGACAGATAGGTGGATAGGTAGATAGACAGGTCGACAGAAAATAAACAGATAGGTAGATAGATAGATAGATCGATGGGTAGATAGATAGATGGATAGATGGACAGACAGATCGATAGATCGACGCTTGCATGCACACAGCAGCAAGAAGCCTTGCCCTGAATCGGCATAAACCCTGCTGTAATCGGCCCTGAGCCCGATATGCATGCATCCGCCTTAGCAATCAGAGGCACCAGCAAAGTTGATTGAACCCAAAACCCTAACCCCTAAACCCCTAAACCCTAAACCTAAACCCCTATATAAGCCGTAAACCCTAGTTCTGTTTGCCCATCAGCTTCAGGGATGCCCTTGGCCTCTGGCTTTATGCCAATATGGTCCGTGCTAGATTGCATTTTAGGGGTTTAGGGTTTAGGGTTTAGGGTTTAAGGTTTAGGGTTTAGGGTCGTGTGCAAGGTGGTGTGTTTTGGTGCTATCTTGGCTCCTTCCACAGATCACAGAGGCAGAGACCCAAACTCAATAGCTAATGTAATTCTATAAACCCCCTTGACTTGAAACCTCCAAACCTCCAGTCCTAAAGCCCCTAAACCCTAAACCCTATTAAACACTGTCGCCCGAACCCATTTGTTCCTCGAACTGCTCGTGACCCCGACCCTTAAGCCCCGATCCTGTGAATCTGAATTGAGAGCTTTATTTCAGGCGTGGGGCGCTGGGGACGGAGCTCGGGAAATTCACGAACCTCGAGGCACTGCAGACCCAGCCGGGCTTCCTACAATGGGTCTTCTGCGGTCATAACGTTCAACAATCACAATATTTATCGAAGGTTCTGCACGGGTCACATTAAAAGTTTCTACAAAACTTTGTCCAAGGCCTTCTACAAGGGGCTTTTAAGTTTAGAGGCTTCAATAGGTCTGTATAAGGTCTGCACAAAGTTTCTGTGATAAGCGTTTGTCTAAAGGTGCTGATCAGACTTCCTATACAGGTTGCTAGCTTGGGTTCTACCGGGGTCGAGACGGATTCTAGCAAGGGTTTCTGTGGACGATTTCCATAAAGGTCCTTTGAAACGATTCTGTAAGGGCTCCATGCTAGATGATAGATGGCCCTAAACCCTAAAACCCTAAAGGGTTCGGGGCTCCAGGGTTGAACTTTAGGGGTTGATGGATTCAAGACTGCAGGGATTTGGAGATGCATTTAGGACGGCCCTAAGCCTTAAATCCTAAACCCTTAAACCTTAAACCCTAAACCTTCAACCCTAAACCCTGTAAGCGCTGCAGGCTTACATTTGCAAGGAGGAGCCTTTCCCCGCGAGTCTAGAGTAGGTAGAAGTTGTGTTCAGAAGCTCCTGTTAACCTAAGGCGCTTCCGGTAGGGGGAAGCTTAGGCTTGAGTCGAAGGATTTAGGGAGTCTACTTAAAGGATCATGGGACTTAGTAAGTAGGGTTATAATTTGGGCAACTATACTTATAGCCCCAATTAAGGGACTTATAACCTTACTTACTAAGTCCCATGATCCTCCAAGTAGCGTTTAGGGGTCGAGGCTAGGAGTTCATGTCAAGGGCGGTGTTGGGCACACGGCTTGGCGCTTGTTACCTAGTCCTTGAGGCAAAAACCTTTGGATTGAGGCGTTGTGGTACGTATGCTGCTTAAAGGAGGCCCCTAAACCCTAAACTCTAATTGTTGTTGTGGGTAGGTGGACCCTTAAGAAGTCGCGACTGGGTAGGGTTTAGGGTTTAGGGTCGTGGTTTGGGGCTTAGGGTGTTGAGGGGCATAGGGGGGTTCCTGATTTCAGGTTTCGGGTCTTGGGATCTACTTGACTGGGCTTTGGAGTACCATACTTTAATACTATTTTGGGGACCTGTTCCTTAAAGGAACCATTATAAAATAAAAGTCTATACTTTTTTCTCCTGGTAACTTCAAAGCCCAGTTGGGGTGATTGCAGGCGCTGAGATCTCCAAAGTACGAGCTGTCAACAAAAACCCCTGACTTAGCTCTCTATGCCCGATGCTCTAAAAAGGACACGCCACCCAATTTCGAAATCTTCAGCCTGCACAGTTGACGACGTCCAATGAAGCCATACGTATTTTGACATGCCCTTTCCTTTTCTGACCTTATTCAGTATGTCTCTTCTGACTCGTATGCTATAAACTGCATGAAAAGTTTGCCGGTGCTAGGTCTAGGCAAGTCAAACACTCCCAGCATGAACCCTAAACTGGCCTTAAACTCTAAACCCTCAACCCCCCTAAGCCCCTAAACGTGCCATGGCTAGTTACGAGCTTGCGCTACACTGGCTGGGGCTTGCAGCCGACCTGCAAACCCTAACATTTAGGACCCTAAAAAGGACAGAAGCATAAGCATTTTAGAGGGATATCCCTACCTTGGTGGGCTTCCTTATAAGGGGGGTTCATATGACATATCCCTATCCTATATTTTTCGCGTGTGTGCTTTCTTGGGGCCCTAGAACAACAAGGTAGCGACCGGCCTTCTGTCCCGAACCTCGGAGTTGGAGAACTCTAAAGCATGAAAGCCTATACTATAAGGGGCCTCAAAAAGTACCTTTTTATTTTTTGGGGGCTCCTTACAATTATACTATAAAGGACCCCAAAGAACCCTAGAATTCAATTATTACCCAGAGGGTCCGAGTACCCAAATAGTAAGGTTTTAGGTCCCAAAATCCATACTCTGAATGGTTTTTGGACCTGGAAACCCTACTATTTGGGTACTCGGACCCTTAGGGTTAGCCCCTATATTACAAACCCTGTCAGCTTTCAGGGTCAGTTTGGGGTCCTCAAGTTCATGCCTCCCCCAGTCAGATAGATAGTTCCGGTTCCTCAGGGCTCCTTGTGACAATTACCCATAGGCCCCATAGTAGTTCCTTTTTGGGGTTACCTTATAGGATTCTATATATGAACCCCGAAAAGGAGCTACTTTAGGGCCTATGGGTATACTATAAAGGAACCCATGACCCGAATCTAAAGACCGTGGACAGGTTCTGGCACTGGATGGGCAGCTCGGCAAGGAGAATGGCCACCCCTCCCGGGTCCTAAGCCCCAAGCGGAAAAGCCCTAGTGCAGACCTCCACTCTTCAATCTGGTGCCCTTTTTTTGGGTTAGCCGGTATCCCGAAAACAGTGTCATGAGCACGTTTTAGGGCTCGAGCCCGCGATTGCATTCTTATGGCGCCCTCTAGATCACCATTCAGAGCTCGTAGATCCCATTGTAGATCCACCGACGTTCACTTGATATGTCTTGGCGCTGCCATTGGCATAGTCTTGCAACGTTTGTTGTATGCAGAGGACATCGCAGATGGAACCGAACACACAGGAACCCTAGTCACATCACCGCTTGACTGCGCTTTGTAACTGGGCTTGCCCCACCCGTCGAGGGCCGCTGACCCGAAGCCCCAAAGCCTAAAGCCTAAGCCCTCAATGCCCAGGGCTTTCTGTGCGTTTCTTCAGACTTCAAACCTGCAGTCTACCAAAGCTCCAAAGTTGCATTTGCATCCCAGGAGCAGATTAGCCTAAACCCTGAACCCTAAACCCCTAAACACTAAACCCTAAACCCTAAACTCTAAACCCTAAACCCTAAACCCTAAACCTTAAACTGATCCGAGGAACAGTTTAGCATAAATCCCTAAACCCTAAACACTAAACACTAAACCCTAAACCCTAAACCTTAAGCCTTAAACTGATCCGAGGAACAGTTTAGACTCCGCTCTTCCCGGCGGCCTTGCCCGACTCACGTCGCTTCGCGAGCTCCTGGGACCAACATGAGACCTGGTCGGATGGACGAGGTGTTGGGGTTTAGGGTTTAGGATTTAGGATTTGGGGTTTAGGGGTTTAGGGTTTAGGGTTTAGGGGACGAGAGCAGCATAGTTACCCTAGTTATGACCCTGCTTACTAAGTCCCATGATCCTTCAAGCAGGGTTCAGGTGTTGATAGGGCTTGATCCGGGGCTATAAAATCGTGAGGCCCGAAGCCCTCAACCCTAAAGCCCTAAACCCAAGCCTATGCAACAGTTTTGCCGGGTTTCGGGTTTAAGTTGACGGATTCTAGTGTTTAGGAATTAGGGTTGTTGCTTAGGGGCTTATAGGATTTTGTTGTTAAGGTCGACGTAACCGGATCGAGGCAAGGCCTCATGGCATGCGTGCGCAGAGCTCTTCTCCTTCTAATCTTAAACTATTACTACAGCTTCTGCAATTACTGCCGCTAGTACCACTACTACTTTTTCTTCTACTACTACTGCTGCTACTACTACTACTACTACAACTTCTTCTTCTTTACTTCTACTACCACTGCTACTGCTTCTGTTGCCGCTACTATTGCTACTACTACTGCTACTACTACTGCTACCACTTCTACTGCTACTGCTGCTACTTCTACTACTTCCACGGCTACTACTACTTCTACTACTTCTACCACCACCGCCGCCGCAGCCGCCACCACCACCACCACCA